ACACCTGTCGTAGTTGTCAAGTTGCGGTGATAAGTGAATGATCGCCACTGCGCATGTGTAACCTGGAGCCACTTGTATATAGGGGCGTGTGCCCTATGTTACGGTGTTCGTTGTGCTGTTGTGAGGCTGCCCTTTGGCATGCCGGAATAAAGGATTCGAAAAGCATGCCCTGGCTCTGAAGTTACAACATGATTGGCGACGAGGATGGGATCCAGACAGCAGGAAAAACAGCAGCTGTTCGGGGTGGTGCCATGCTCGGAAAGCTTCCAGAGTTCGATCCGGACGGTGACAACTGCGATGTTTTCTTCGAGCGATTTGAGTGTTTTGCAGCTGCTAACGACATCGCAGAGGATAAGAAGTTGCAAGTGCTATTGACGTCCATCGGGGAGAAGGCATACGTCACGCTGAGGAGCCTTCTTCTGCCGAAAACGCCTACCCAGGAGACGTATGACGTGGTCATCGCAACGCTGAAAAAGCACTATACCCCAAAGTGCTCCGTGGTTACGGAAAGATACCGTTTTAACCAACGCAATCAAGAACCGCACGAAAGCATCAGCGACTTCATAGTAGGACTCAAGAAACTGGCTGCAACATGTGAGTTCGGCACATTTCTTGAGCAAGCCCTGCGAGATCGTCTCATCGCGGGATTGTGTTCCGACAGCATACGGTGCAGGCTTCTGGCGACACCTGATGCAGAATTAACCTGGGAGCGCACCTGCAGCATTGTAGCAGCCATGGAATCTGCTACTAGAGGCACTCGGGAAATGGTGGCGACCCTCGCAACAGGGACCCCCGTCGACAGCGACGTTCACTGGAACAAGGAAACGGCAGCTGGACAACGGTCAGCACCCGCTGGGGACTACGCACGGAGTTTCATGCCGAAAACCACTCCAGCTGCAGGTACACAAGAGACTAAGGGGTGTCATCGTTGCGGTGGGCGGCACTCTCCTGTAAGTTGTCCGTTCATGAACAGCCGTTGTTTTAAATGTAACAAGAAAGGCCATGTAGCCAAAATGTGTAAAACTAGGGCGCCTATTCATTGCCTGGCTAATGATGCAACGCGTGATGAGTTGTTGACACTGTGTCACACAGACCGTAGGTCGGGCACGCCTGCCATTGTGGTGCCGTTGCTGATAAACGGAAAAAAGATTTCGATGGAGCTAGATACAGGCGCAGCCGTATCGGTAATGTGTGAAACAGAATGTTTAAAACATTTTCCCGATGCAAGTTTCAGGGAAACAGATGTTAGGCTAGTCACCTACAATGGCACGCCTGTCACGGTCAAGGGTATTATGGATGTTGATGTAGAGTACCAGAGCCAACACGTTCGCTTGCCACTAGTGATTGCTAAGGATAGCACAGGGGCTAGAATGCCAACATTATTAGGGCGGGAGTGGCTAACGAAAATAAAACTCGACTGGCTGAATGTGGTACGGGTGCAGAACGTACGGGAAGAAGCACAGATAACTGATAAGTACCGCGAGGTATTTCAACCAGGATACGGGGCCATTAAAGGGTTTCACGCTAGTATTGTGCTTAAGAAAGGCGCTACTCCTGTTTTTTGTAAAGCGAGACCAGTGCCATACGCGTTACGCGAGCAGGTAGAACAAGAGCTGCTTAATATGGAGAAGGCAGGCATTGTGTACCGCGTGAGGCACAGTGCTTGGGCCACCCCACTGGTGGTTGTGCCGAAAAAGAATAATGGCATTCGACTGTGCGGGGATTACCGGGTCACCGTCAATCCTTTCGTGGTAGTTGACCATTACCCTCTACCGCTGCCTGAAGATATATTCACCACGTTGCAAGGTGGAGCTGTGTTTTCAGTTCTCGACCTGAGTAAGGCGTATCTGCAACTGGAATTAGATGAGCACGCTCAGGAACTGCTCACCATTAACACGCATATGGGCCTTTTCCGGTACAGGCGCCTACCCTATGGTGTAGCCTGTGCACCAGCCGCATTTCAGGCGGTAATGGACCAAGTCCTGAGGGGCTTGCAAGGCACGGCTTGCTATCTTGACGATGTCATCATAGCGGGAGTTAGCTACGAGCAGTGTCGTGAAAGAGTGGAACAAGTACTCATGCGCCTAAGCGAATACGGTATCAAGGTCAACGCGGAAAAGTGCAGCTTGTTTAAAAAAAGAGTAACCTACTTGGGGCACGAAGTTGATGGCAATGGGTTGCACCCTACCAGTGACAAAGTAAGGGCGATAAAGAATGCACCCAAGCCAGACAATGTCACGCAACTAAAGGCATTTTTGGGACTGGTAAATTTTTACGCAAAATTTTTACCAAAGGTAGCTACAGTCCTGGAGCCTCTTCATGGCTTGCTGCGCAAGGAAACCAAGTGGCACTGGTCCCGACTATGTGACGACGCGTTCAACAAGTGTAAAACGTTGTTGACGGATGAAAGTGTGTTGGAAATATATGATGTGGCAAAAGAAATTCAGCTCACGTGTGACGCTTCAGAGTATGGCCTAGGAGCCGTACTATCGCATGTCGTGAACGGCCAAGAGAAGCCTATCGCTTTCGCCTCAAGATCGCTGTCAGTGTCCGAGCGGAACTACGGACAAATAGAGAAAGAGGCACTGAGCATAGTATTTGGAGTAAGAAAATTCCACAAGTATCTATATGGCAGGGCATTCAACGTTTTAACGGATCACCAACCACTGACGGCTCTTTTCGACCCAAACCGACATTGCGGTGCCGTGGCAATTGCCAGGGTACACAGATGGCTGACATTTCTAGCAGACTATCGGTACAAAATTACGCATAAACCGGGCTCCGCCATATCGCATGCTGATGCTTTGTCACGGCTACCGTTGTCGGAGGGGGGGCATGACGAGGACACAATTTGCTACTTTTCCACGTTGTCAGATTTGCCGCTGACCGCGAAAGACATTGAGCGTGCAACAGGGTGTGACAGTTTGCTGCGAGTTGTGCGAAATAGGATATGGCAAGGTTGGCCAAAGACTGTCAGTGCGGAACTGCAACCGTTTTGGGTTCGCCGATTTGAGCTCACGGTGGACGAGGGCTGTATTGTTTGGAATAACAGGGTTGTTGTTCCTGAAAGCTTGAAGACTGTAGTACTAGCACTCTTGCACGAACAGCATCTCGGGATCTCAAAAATGAAGGCTGTTGCACGGTCAATGGTCTGGTGGCCGGGTATCGACGATGCCCTTGAACAGGCGGTGCGCAAATGTAGTATCTGTCAGGCAGTACTTCCTGCAGCGCAGCCAGTTCCTTTGTTTCCATGGAAAGTTTGTGAACACCCGTGGCAACGAGTCCACTTGGATTTTGCGGAAAAAGAATCGCAAATCTTTCTTATTGCAGTAGATGCTTTTTCCAAATGGATAGAGGTTAAGTGTATGCAGTCGACCACGGCTGCGAAAACAGTCGAGGCTGTGCGTTCCTGGTTTGCGTCTCACGGGTTACCTGTGGAAGTGGTTACTGATAACGGGCCTCAGTTCCGCGCAGCGGAATTTCTAACTTTCCTGAAAGCGAATGGCGTGAAACATACGCTCACCCCACCGTATCATCCGCAATCTAATGGAGCGGCCGAGCGAGCGGTGCAAACAACTAAGAAGGCTCTCCTGAAGCAGTTAATGGATGACGAAAGGACAGGTACAAACAGGTCACTACAACATCGCCTAGATAATTTCTTGTTCTCGTACCGCGCAACCCCGCACACTTTCACTGGGAAATCACCAGCAGAATTGTTTCTGCGACGGAAACTGAGGACCCGCTTATCATTGCTACGACCAGATGTGAACGGTGTGTTGACTGACCAAGCAGAGGAAGTGAAAACATCCGCTGACAAGCGGCGCGCAGTGTTTCGTTCTTTTGCGATGAATGAGTGCGTACTGGTACGATCAGTGCGTGGAGAGACTGTGAAGTGGTTACGGGTAGAGTGTTGCAGGTAAAATCAATATGCACATACTTAGTGTTGGTGGGAAATCGTGTGCGATATGTGCATGCCGATCATTTGCGCCACTCCTGTCTGGAACGGGAGAAAGAGCCAGCTGTGGACGACGAGTTCGAGCTGCCGCATGTGCCCGAAGAACGGGACCCTACTACTTCGACGACGACGCTACCACCGATTACCCAACACCAGTCGAGCACGGAGCGTATGCCGCAGCCGGACATGACTACGCTCCGGAGAAGCACCCGACAACGCCGGGCGCCTGATCGCTGGGCTATAGTAGCCGTACTTAAAGTTGTCAGAAAGGGAGTGTTGTGTTCATATCGCGATAGGCTACACCTGTCGTAGTTGTCAAGTTGCGGTGATAAGTGAATGATCGCCACTGCGCATGTGTAACCTGGAGCCACTTGTATATAGGGGCGTGTGCCCTATGTTACGGTGTTCGTTTGCTGTTGATGCTGCCTGGCAAGCATGTACACTCAAACCTCATTAAAACAAGGTTGCATCTTATAAGAAATTATGTTCATTATATCTGAAAATTCGTTATACTGGTTATTTTAACACTGTGTCTATTAGAAGACAATTTTTCATTTAATTCATTATAGTCGCTATTTTGCTATATCTATGTTCCTTATATGAAGGTTTGAGTGTATGCCCAGAGCTGCCGAACAGGATGCGTGCACCTGTGCATGTTAAAAGTAGATGGCATGCACTATAGCATTTTTGATTGATATGATTTATATGTGGGGTTTAACGTCCCAAAACCACCATATGATTATGAGAGACGCCGTAGTGGAGGGCTCCGGAAATTTCGACCACCTGGGGTTCTTTAGCGTGCACCCAAATCTGAGCACACGGGCTTACAATATTTCCGCCTCCATCGGAAATGCAGCCGTCGCAGCCGGGATTCAAACCCGCGACCTGCGGGTCAGCATTATAGCATCGTGAAGGTTTGCCGCTGTTTAGGTTGCATTTGACTGGCGATAGTACAGCCTTTTGCTTTATAAATCAGATAATTAAGTCAACCCCCTTTCACTTAAACCGGCCACTCATAACTATTATCTTAAGAGGCTCTCCTCACCTTGTGTGCTGATGCTGAGGCAGCTGGTCACTTGAATTGGCACCGGTAACGGGTTGAGTCGCTTGCGGAGGCCATCGTGATGAAAACTCACAACGCCGTTCGCACCAGTCCACCCGCCGGAGACCTGTCTGTGTGTACACCGCTCTGCAAAGATGAAATGACACCTCGATGAAACAAAACGAAACAAGAAAATCACAAAAGTAAATACGGCAATCAGAGCCAGATTCAAGCTGAGGACCAATTAATGCAATTGAACAGCATAACCTTCTCACAAAGCAATCTGCAAGCAACCTAAAGGCTGGACACGCCGTGCTGACAGCAATTAATATTCATTTATTTGAAAGATTACAGGCCCCTAGAGGCGCTCCATAAAGGCAGGGTGATGCAAGAAAATGTTATAATGTGTACAATTAAAAAACAAAAGGATAGGGCACAAATACCTAAAGAAACCAGAACAAGAAAAACAATGCTGCGGTAAGATATGCAGAAATTATTATTGCACTGGAGTACCTTGATCAAGCCTGATCTGAACCCAACTTCTTGGCTGTGACTGGCTCCCTTTGCAGCTTGTACAAAATGGCCGATCCCGACTAACAGGCAAGGCTCGACACACATTCAAAGAGCACCACCCTCCCTTGTAGTTCTGTACATTGCCTCGACCGCCATCATAGACAAAATCCACACAAAAATGGATGAAGCAGTAGTCAAGGACCATAATGCAAGAAAGCACTCACTTGACACAGTTGGAAAACACCGAAGCGCTGATCACGCTCTTTCTTCCCGCCTTGCTGCAGAATGTCACATACTCTGCGTAGATGTCATTGCGCGCCACCGTGCAGCCTGGGGGCGCCGGCTCGTACATGGCCCGCACCCAGGTCCCTGCAAATGCCTCCGTGTCCATGGGATCACTCTGCGGCGCCGCAGTCGTTCGCGAGCCCCGTAGCCGAAGTCGTAGGGGTGCCTGCCGCTGGCTGGACCCAGCCCAGGTCCAGGCCCCGTCGTCCCCGTGACGCCCGTTGAGGTTCCCGGCGTGTTCATCCCCAACGCGCTTCCACCAGTGGAGACCATGGAAGGCGTCAGTGGCGCCGACATCGGCAACGAGGTCGGAGTGGCGGCCGGGTTGTTGGTTGCCGCAGGGACTTGCGGCGGAGGCAGGAGAGGGTCAATGGTCTCGATGAGCTTTCATGCCCTTCTGGGCAAGTGGTCCGTAGACCAGCGGGTCCAACGTCAGGAGGCTAACCAGGATCCCCATGGACCGGTGGACAAGAAGCATGCGCTCGCATGCGTCACGGCCGAGCTCACTGAGCATGTAGAGCGCCTCGAGTGCGTATATTAGGAGCATCAGGTCGTGCACGGTGAGGAGCTCGAAGACGCGCCGGCACAGGGGCGTGTCTAGCGCGGCTAGCAGGGGTTCTGCGTTGCGCTCCTGCCGGCAGAGACGGGCCAGGATGTCGAGGCAGCGGACGACCAGGTACCGGTCCTGCGACTGGATGCCCTCGCGGGCCAGTCGCAGCAGCGAGCAGGACCAGCGCTGCCGCTCGCCGGCCAGGTCCTCGTAGCAGTGGTGGCCGGACGAGGCCTCGTCCTCGTCTTCGTCCGGCGCAGGGTACAGCACCAACTGTACAGGAACGATGATATGCAACGAGCCTTTTCAAATAATGTTCCATCCCCTTCAGATGCAAATTATAATCGACTGTCTGCAAATGTTTCAAACTTGCACAGCATATTTCCAAGGCACTTTATATTAAATTTCAATAAATTAAAGTAATATATTGTTTTAGCAAGTTTATGTAATTCATTCTAATTAGCAAGTAATTAAATATCTAATTATGCCTTAGTCGACCATGTACCACCTTCACATGAAAAAAAAAATGAAACCATAGACTTAAAATTCACGCACAATTTTTTTATTGCGCCCATTCAAAGCAGAGTATATACTTTCGATGCTAGTCTTAAAATGTGGCATGTTGACCAAGCCATCAAACGTGGTGGTGCCTCACCAATGTGGTCAACTGCTGACACACGCAGCACAATGAGGACAGGGCGAGATGCGCCGACTGTGCAGAAGGTTCAATTCATCCTATGTCCAACGTACCTCACCCTTCTTGCCACTAGTTCTCTAAGACGGCAAAATGACATTTTTTTTTACTGTGACAACTTCTATGAGCAATCGCTCAAAGGAACTGTTTCATGTTGTTACCAATCTGGTCATTAAAGGTAAGGTTCACGATGATTCAAGTGTTCCAATGATAATTACACTAACATGAGATGAACTGAAGACGCTGGAAACCAAAGTATGTGTATAACTTTGCACTGAACTTTCGTGATTCAATCCGCAAGCGCATTTCAAATCTTTTTGAACTTTGCCATTTTGCGTTCGTCAGAAATGTAGGTGCTTCGACAGCTAGAATCGAATAATTGTTCCCATGCTTGGCAACGTGACAACCCAACTAGTGCACCACTACTGGCGGGTGATTCAGGAAGTTATTTAGACTGTTAGCTATGAAATCTCCACAGCACGAAATTTTTGGAGCCATAAGCAACGTTTGTATCACCTGAAGTTCCTTATCTATTAAGAAACACCAAAAGAAAGATTTGATAACATTCTTTCGATGTTTAAGCCACCTATCACGACACATTAGGTTTGTAAGAGCGAGCCATATTGAGGATCAATCATATATAATTACTTTTTCATTGCGAGTTTGTCACAGTTGGATACAAAACGACCATGCCACAATAAATTTGAGAGAGTTCCTTGTTGCATAGTAAACTTGATCTAAAGGGCAATTATGTTTTAACTAAGTAACATGTACAACATTAACAGAGTCACCCCCAGAAGCTTAAACGGTCACACTAGCACATGACAAAAGTTTGGAAGCAAGCACAAGAGACCAGACACTATAAGACAAAATGACGCACCTTAGCAGCGAGGTTGCCAATCGTATCCAAAGCCACCTGTCGCAGCGTAGACCAACGGCTCAGGGCAGACAGCATGACAAACCTGCAGAATGAGCAAACCGTCGTCGCCGTATGAAAGCATGCATGCCAAGGACAAACACACCACACAATATTGCCAGACCACTTCAAGTACCAACATCACAGGAGTCCTGTGAGAATCAAAGTAGACACTGGGGCAACGATGGAGGCCTCAGCTCGAAAAGCTTGTCATTGCTTTGCCTATAAACTCTCCTTGGCGCTCGAGACTGCAAGATTCGACTGAGCAGCTTATGGCATAGCAGTGTCTCTGCTTTCCGCAGGATGTGTTTTCTCACCAACCCCGAAGGATGGTTACGACGTGTTGAATTTTTCAACATAGCAAATGAAACGACAGAGACAAACCTGATGAATGTCCGGTTCTTTGCCAAGATGACAGCGTTGCGCTCTTCGAACGAGAGGTTGTGGAAGATCAGTGCAATCTGCACAAAGACCCGCCGATGCCCATTAAAACTTCCAAAGTCAAAATACAGTGAAAGCAAGAAATCGCAAACAAGAAAAATTATTACGTATAAATAAAGCAACAAATAGCAGAATGTCGAATGTCCACCAAATAAACAAAAAAAACATGCGGTGCTTCTTGCACAAGATGACATTCATTTTTTCACTGGCCAACTCTTCATTAATCAAGTTCTGAAATGTGCATCAGTGCTTAGCATGAACCAGCTTTTACGCATAAACTTGACAGTGTACTTAGTAACAACAAATAGAATACGGAAATATTACACCTGAAATCTTGTAATCATTTTTGAATCAGTCGAGATTTTGAATGAAGTGGATAAAGAATGAAAAATTACCGCAAAAAATGCATGAGCTGCAGCAGCCCTAATACAAAACATGCTACAAACCTCTTACGCTTACAATGGTGTACAGTCAATCACGCCCGATACAAAATTAGAAATATAGACCTTTGACCTGCTTCATTTTCACTATAACCAACCTATAATCCTTCAAGGAGTATTTTAACAATACAAACTGATCAACAATTTTTTATTGTCCTTCGTATGCAAGAGTTCATTCTTTTGTACAGGAGCTCTCAAAAAACAAAACCTTTTAAACAGAATCACTGCTTAAATACAAATAATAAGACTGGTTTTCGTACAACTCTGTACAACGTAACACATTTTCTCGATACCTTCAGGTTGTGTTTAAGGAGAGTCTATGGTACCGTTCTAGAATACTTAGTATGGTTAGAAAAAAAAAAAACACTACAGCTGTGTTTATTTCATTCTTGCATTACAATGATTTCACAATGACCTTAATGTTCTGAACCAACTCACCCTTAACACTCTTTGGCCTTCTACACTCCGTGTCCCTACTTCATAATTTAAGTTAAAAAGCTCGTCCTCTTCGTCCTTGTTACCTGTAACAACCAACGAAAGGGAAAAGCACCGCACATTAACCACTGCCACAGAATCCACAAGAAGACACAGTTGCCTGAGAGAACAGCCACAGCTAGTTGTGGCCATAGATAGCCAAAACAAGAGTAACTTTATTTATTTATTTATTTATTTATTTATTTGTCAAATACTGTCTGCCTTTCACGTGCCGTTACACAGAATGAGTCAAGAGGTACACAGGGGAGTACATTGTACAAAAAGTCCAACTAGACATCAATAATAACAATTTAAACAATAAAGTATGGTAAGTCTCATAATCAAGGAGGAAATAGTTACAATGTACACTAAAACATACCAACCTCTGCCAATATTGTATAGGGCTATCGTCTCTGCATCCAAATTGTCCTCCCAGAAACGTTCCATCCGCCGACCTTCCACGCCCTGCCAGCTTTCCAGCAACAATGGCCGCAACGTCGGGTCATCTGCATGCGAGCAAGGAAGCAAAGCAGTTAGTGCAACAAGTTACCTGTTTACAAGCAAAACAAAAGACTTATTACGAACAGTTCTGGTACACGCAGAACAAAGGAGTTAAAGGAGCAGTCGAAACATGTCTCTGCAAGGAGTTGCCTGAGGTCAAGCGAAAAGAACGAGTTATTATAAAAGCTCAGGAGCCTCGACTACTGACTGGCAGCATTTTTGTACCATTCTGAAGAAGTTTTCCAAGGACCCCTTTAAAAATTCAAAATGTATTAACAAATTGGAATAACACCAGTGCCTTACTAACACATACACTGTAGTAAATTAGGTCAAGCTTTCAAGGGACTGCTCTCACCCGTTGGGAAGAGCCCCGCCTGGGAGAGCAGGAGGTCGACCAGCCGGGGCATGCGGTCCAGCTTGAGGCTGTGACGCCCCTCATTCGAGAGCAGCGTGCACACATTGAGGGTGAGGGTCTCTTCGTTGGGCAGGCCACTCAGGAGGGACATGCAGAGCTTGTTGTACTCCGGCGACGGACCCGCGCAGGGTGCCAGGCCCAGCACGAGCCGCTGGCTCTCTGCGCACACAGAGGCAGGCCAAGTCAAGGACACATGGCTGACCAAGTTGAAAGGATAATGAATCCCTATAGTTGGTGATCACTCATAAGTTTGTTTTTTTCTTGCTCACTGCTGCGCACTCTTTGTTTTTTACCTCTCTTTCCGCTTCTTTTTAAAGCACTTGCACAGCGCAAGAAGGTATGCACCTGCTGTTAAATGCCGAGCAAGTGCCCCCCCCTTAAGCAAGATTATCTTTCACTGTAGGGGGTGGGGGGGTGCTTACTCGGCATTTTTCAGTAATCGGTTGGGCATGGTGAGATACACGACGCTATCACTGGACGGACCTGCCCTAGCATCATTCAGAGTCTCGGAATACAGTGTGCCCGTTAAGTCACAAACTTTGAAGTGGTCACAGGAAATCAATGAAACAAGATAAAAAACGTGAAATCTTCACCAAATATAAATAGAACTTTCCAGGTTTCCCACCCCATTTTTCAATTTCATCTGCCCTTATACACTGCTTTTTAAAGAGTCTCTATGCGCCAAGTAGACAGCAAAAGTCTACAGAAGATTAAATAATCGGGCAAGGAAGAGTGATGGATCACTGCAATAACTAGTGTGTTACATCAAGCAAACCAGCTTTGCTATCGTTAAATTATGTGCAGTACCATAGTTGCTCAGCAGTCATTAGCTCTTTCAGATGCCACCGGGGCAGCACCAGCTATGTATCATATTTACACATTTGAAGGCACTCAATATTATATTGCAAACATACAATGCTGTAACACACTGATTTATGAATTTTATAGTAATTAATTTTAATTAAACTACTTTATCATGCATGATCATCTTAAAGTAATTCTCTTCAGTTTTTTTTTTTCATAAACTGAATAAAATTTCGAGCCAGTAATATAGTGCAAATTCACGTCCAGTTATTGTTAATTTCAAGCTTAGAAACCTATTTTCAACGTGGCCATAAGAAAGTGGCGCGTCAAAGAACTCATTAAACATGGTAGTGCCTACAACAAACTGATCATATGCAACAGTACACTTCAAAATGAAACAAAACTACATTTATTACACAGGCGGTCATATGTTGAGGTTCATCCAAACCTCAACACTATCCAGCTTCTTCTAAGCCACCAGTCGGGCCAACCAGCAAAAACAAGTGGCATACACTATTGTTTACGAAGCACCACAAACAGTTAAAGTCGTAGAGTTTCCTATAAATAATCTATGAGAGCTGCAACACACGGGCGCATTCTGCTAGTGTGGGAACGATGGGTAGTCACACAAATTTGCCTAGTCTTCGTACTTTGTGGTTCGTCTGGCTTCGCGTGGTTCGCAGCTGCTTTGTCACGGAACAACAATCAGCAATAGTTTATCAGTCCCGCTTCACCAATGTAATCTTTTAGGCTCACCAATTCAAATCAGGTCATGAAGTTCAGAACGGTTTGTTCTTTTATTTGAAACAAAACTGAAACACTGCAATAAACGAGGCCACAACTGCGTTCGAAGCCCGCACGCACGAAGACTAGGCAAATCCATGTACTACCCATCATTCACACATTCGCTGAACAATCGCAGCGCCAGGGTCCCTTCTAGTTCATTTTAGGAAACTATGGTTAAAGTAGTCCATCTCACCGGGGATGTCGTGCTGTGCTTTGTTGTAGGACATGGGCACCTGGACCAGTGCCGCGCCAGTGCTCTTGCGGCCACCGCGCGACTCGGTGCCAGGGTCGGCTTCCTCGTCCGCATCTTCGCCCAGGAAGTGCACCTTCTCAAACAAGCTGAGGTACCTGCACAAAACGCCAACAGAACTGGGAGTGAGCTCCCTTTTTGCGGAAAAGCGGCAAAAACACACACCTGTACAAAACACACAGTGCAGTCACAGCGTTAGCTGGGGAGGCAGCTTTACGGAACCTGCTGTAAACTCTCTTGGGTGCCTGCAAGTACAACTGCAAGGTACCCACTACGCAATAAGTCATCCCATTTAACAAAGTATAGGGAAGCACCCACTTTGCGTTCCTAAAGAAACAGACGCACCTGCACAGCTTTGCATCTTGTTGCTGTGCTGGATGATGACGAGTATGATGAGAAGGATTATTACAGAGCACCTTGTAAGTAATAGATGGTATGCTTAAACTGTCCTGTGTCACTGCTCAATTCACATGGTGCAATACCTAGTGCAATTCCACTCTTCTGCCAAGAAACATTACATTTGTTTATGCCTTCTCTTTCTAATGCCATAGCAGCGAATAACTATGGCATTATTATTGGCTGTTGTAAGCTTATAGCAGTTTAACTAGAAAAAAGCCAGAGCTTTGCCACAAAGGCGAAGCAATGAACGCGATAGCAACGAATTCGAAGGTCACGCGAAGAATGGCAAGCAGGACAAAACGTGCCCCACATTTGTCACGCACAAATGATGCGTGAAACACACTCACAGGTACAGATGAACGTGGATAAGCGTCTCAGTTGTTACTTCGTTGTATCTTAAAAGCGCGCCCTTTTCGCAAACAGAGACTGTGCAGCGAGTGCAGTGACCTTTGTGCGCCCGATAACTACAACAGAATCGTTCCGGTGAAAGCTCAAGGCGCACGATTATCTCCACCGCGAGATAAGCGCGTGAGCATTCACCCGCCCCCCTCTCCGTGGGGCAAAGTACGTGTAGGAGATGAGAGAGCGCACCGCCGCGTCGTGACGATCTGGCGATGCGCGCTCATTACGCCATATCGCTGGTAATGCTGAAAACACGATAGTTCCCCCAAGATGGTCATCGCCAGCAGTATGTGGTCGATAGAAATAGCTAGCCGTTTCTACGTTGAACGATGTGCTCCTTCGTGGCTCAATGGCTAACCCCACGCACTCACAATCAAGAGGTCGGACGTTCGAATCCGCACGCCGCAGTCATTCTCTGGGTTATTTTTTTTTCCTTACGTTTTGATATACATAGATACGTATACATATACGGTGAATAAAGTCGATGCCCATACCGGCAGCAAAATCCAGCCGAGAGTGTCCACATCACTGCTATTGCGATAAAGGTAGCAAATGCATGATGCTAAAAATATAACCCCATTAAGGCCACAAGGATTGATGGCAAGAGCGATCGAATTACCTGATTCACCTTGATTTCTAGCCACTAAGAGTATATCTCTACAAGGAAACTAAATTCTAAAATCTCACCTGAGGTCAAACTTCAATAGCCACTGATCAATTTGAAGCTGCTTCACTGAGCTAGCTGCAGATGGAAACTTTCTCCGGCTCATAAAAACAAACTTTACAGAATATGTTTGTTTTCCATGTAGAAACCTGAACTCAGGGGTATCAAGCCAGTATAACATGTCTGATAGCATATCAGCATATCACATCTGGGCCCAGGAAGGAGAGGTAATAGTACAAAAGAATCAAATAAATATACAGTACACTTATTCCAATAACAATCACATTCCCATTTTGAGATTAACATTAAGACATAAGCAGTTCAAATAAATCAATACAGTTTAGCTATGACAATGGTACGCATATTGCACACACATCATAGTAAGGAGTGGTGACGTATGTGTGTATGCATGTGTGTGTACAGGGCGTTCCAAGAAATGACAAAAAATAATAAAAATGAAATAGTAGCTCCCCGCCTTCATAATTCCTCTTTTAAATAGAGGCCGACACAAGCTCATTTACAGCAATAAGTAATCAAATTAAATTCATTAGCTTTGTAACGTAGTGGAGGCAAGCAGTCAGGTCAAATGGAAGAATTGAGGTCCTTCCCGTGAGGAACCCATTGCAGCTTAGCGATTTCAAAATAGTCGCGGCTGGCAATTATTGTGGAGTAACGAATTTCGATCAACTTCACCACACTTCTCTTTTAGTTTTTTTTTTCAATAAATTTTTTCGAAAGAATTACTCAACAATTACTCAGGGCCGCTATTTGAAAATGTCAAAGTGGCAAAGCGAAGATGGTTCGTTTTTCGATGCAACCAAATTGCCAAACACAAAGACGTTAGTTATTCGGATTTGTTTAATTACTGCCGTAATTGATGTCTCAAGCCACCTTAGAGTTTTTCGCCCGCGTGCCCATACTAAAACATTTTCTGCCTCTTTTTTTTCCCAGAGCAGCAAAAGACTGGAATGGCCTTTCCCACGATATCGCCACAGTCACCTCTCTATCAAGCTTCATGCATAATATTTCAAATGTAACTTCACATTTATCATTGGGAGAAAAATATCGATTGTATGTTACCTACCCCTTATGTAATACCCTCTCGGGGGTCTTTAAGGAAATAAAAATGAAATGAAATGAAACACTAACGGGAAAAACTATTTTTTTTTCCTCATTTTACTAAAGCACTCTTTCACGATACCCTTAAAAAAACACCACGCTTGCTTGAAGAAGACGCTCGGTAGTCGAGAAAAGCGCGCGAAACCAAAATGCGGGTGGCAACGTTACATTTGAAGTTCCCGCGCCAGTCGCCACGACGTAGTAACCGACCTATATGTAGCGCCAGGTGAATACGGCGATCGATGCAATTACCGAAGAACGGAACACACACGGCAGTAACGCATATTAAGAGGAAGGAGGGGCGCTACACGACCGGCGACATTTTTTTTAAGACAACGCCGGGGGAGAAATGGCGCGGCGCCGTCGTCGTGAAAGAGGCGGGAATATCGGTAAGCGAGAGAAAAAGCGCGCGGTTTTTTCCCACGCCTTTTTCTTTTTCCCTCCTCCCTTCTTGCTTTCGACAGCCGCCACGATCATGTTCGTCCGCGCAAAAATGCATAACGGCCCATTTCGTTTGCCCAATGGAGGCGGAACAACCCCGGAGCGCGCGAATCGATATCCAAGATGGCGGCCACCACCGCATATGTGTCTCATTCCGAGAAAAAGGAGTAAAGCGCCCCTCGAAAAACGGCTAATAGGATTTTTGCGGAGAGTTACGCTAAAGCCGTGCCGTATACGACACTGTAGTAGATTCTCGTAACAGGTTATGTAATTACGGTACGGTGACAGTGTCCTTTAGCAAGTTACGGAACCGCCATACAAAAACTGCGGTACGGTGGTAAAGCCTTTTATCGGATTACTGCGCTCAAACACGGTACCGTGTTGTCTCCTGGTAAGTTAAGGAAATACGGTACGCAAATACGGCACGGTAATGGAGTCGTTTGGCAAGTTACGGAAATACGGTACGGTGACACGGCGTTTTAGCGAATTACTGTGTGCAATTACGATACTTTGTTACGTCTTCTAGGGAGTTACGGAAATACAATACGGTAATAAAGTCGTTTAGCAGGTTACGTAAATACGGTGGTGCAATTTAGTAACGTAGCGTTTTGGGCGCGTTGGTATGTCAAACTGTAGTGTTATAGCGCGTGAAAACACGGTCAGAGAAGACGTAAAACAATACAGCATGACCCATCAACACGCCCAAATCGCTACGTTATTAAATTACCTTACCGTATTTCCGTAACTTGCTAAATGACTCCACTAGTGGGGTGATTAAGTCCAAAGTTACGGCAATGCCGCACCGTATCATCTCCTGTCTCGCTGGTCGTTCTTCAACCACTTTCAGTTCTGACTGGTTTCTAGTGATACTGCGTCCATCAAAAGACAATGTCCCTCGTTCACAATGCGTAAGACGAGAGGCAGATAACCGCGTAGTAGCATCTGCGGCGTTGGCGTACCTCCAGTGCTGAAAAAAGCGCAACAAGCGAGGAAGTATACTAGCGGTACAGTAAAATAGCGTGCATTGTTGACGTACGTTATTTCCGTAACTATAGCTAAAGGGCTCTATTACCGTAACTTGCTAAAAGAGTAAACTTTTGCGCCAGTTTGTTTCAACCGAATACGAGCCTCGCCGTGGTGGTTTATTTATTTTTTATTTATTTATTCATTATACCCTCAGGGCCAGAGGCATTACAGAGGGGAGTGGTACAGAACAAAGGCATAGCATGAGGTAGCATGGTTACAAAAATGTTGTGTACATAAAAGGAAAAGGAAAGACAAAACAAATTAGTATTATCGCAACAATGTGGTCACACAAACACAGATTAAACATCAGATATTTCTGCATATTATATTAGTGGCTAAGGTACTCGGCTGCTGACCCGCAGGTCGCGGGTTCGAATCCCGGCTGCGGCGGCTGCATGTCCGATGGAGGCGGAAATGTTGTAGGCCCGTGAGCTCAGAGATTTGGGTGCACGTTAAAGAACCCCAGGTGGTCTAAATTTCCGGAGCCCTCCACTATACGGTGTTTCTCATAATCATATGGTGGTTTTGGGACGTTAAACCCCACATATCAATCAATCAACCGAATACGAAATGGTGGGAGTTTCTTTTTTTTTTTTTTCTGGTGTTCGCGCACTGTGCTAGGCGCCATCTTGATAAGAAAAAAAAAACCATAGGGATTAAATCAGTCGCATTATCGATGGATAGATGAGGAAACGATGCGTTAACAAGACGGGGCAACGCGTGTGTGGTCGATGCACAAAACGAGCCTTCTTCACGCACACCGTCACTCCACTCTCCGAGCTTCTCTACTCCCGCACAAAGCCAGCCCGTACAAAAAAGCGCGGCCATGCTTAGCGTGGGAAAGTCTTATCAAACACGCGGGCACCCACAGACACAGCGCACCACAGATACGTTCCCTCTCTCGCAGACGATAGGCCCAAGAACGCACTTCCGCGCCAATAAAAGTGCAAGCAGATTAGCTGCCACCGGTGTACCGGTAGGCGGATACGTTTTAGTTCGTTTAAAAAAAAAGGCGATATCGAATCGCTTTGCGATAATGCACGAATC